TCTCGCTATTGCTCATTTTCCTTGCACTAACGGGGTTTGAAGGGGGGTGCCTTAGTGTGATATGGTTATTTTCTTTTTTTAATGTTTTTTATCTTCAGTACTGTGAGGAATTCTGATGTGACCCTCAGCCAAAAGTTGTTTGTATTGCAATTCTACAAAACATAATTTGTTTTCAGATTTTTAATTTTTTTTGGGATTTTTTTTTTTTTTTTTTGTGCTGGGGCTGCCCGGGACCATGCCCGGGGGTCATGCCAGGCCGGTCACCCGGTCGCCAATCCGGGCGTGACATCGGGACCCGGGCGCCCGGGATATCTCCCTATGTTTAAAGTTTAAACCTAGGCTGCCAGCCAGGCCGCCCGGGTCACCTTGTTTTCCCGGGCCCGGCAAAAAAAAAAAACAAAAAAAAAAAAGCAATCCTCTAGCTGTAAGCGGAGTAACTGTACTCGCTGGAGTTATAACTCCTCTCTAGTGGGCGTAGGTGGCTGGCTGTACTGCGAGCCTGCCATCTGACTAGAGGAGGGTCCTGCACTTGCCCCACTTGATGAGGCACAAGACATAGCGAAGGCTCCTGATGTCTGCTGAGCTTGAGAGGTCGCTGCAGAAGTTGCCATAGCTTCAGCACGAGCTTCTGCTGCCGCTAAAACACGCTCCGCAGCTGCTGCTGCCTCCCTAGCTGTCTGCAAACTACGGGCCCGTTGCTTCGGCCCGGAACCTTCTCTCGTCCCCTGGTAGCAGAACCTGGAACACTACTGGAATCCATTGTGTGTCCCGACGCGTCCGTACGCTGTCGTCAGCTAGTACTTCCCCACTATCTGTACCGCTCATCAGCTAAGCAGTTCACTGTCTGCACTAGTGCCCTCGCTGGGGCCTACCACAGCATGTGTCGGACCGAGTTGTAAAATAATAATAAATAATTATTCGGCAAGTCAACCAGGTACCGATCAAGTGGTATCAACAGTGCATTCACAGGCTGAGCAGATAATCTACTCCTACAGTCCTACTTTGATCGGTTCTCCTACAGCAGCATCAACCAAAGAATCAATCAACTTCTTTCTTCATTTTGATTCTTTTTTTTTTATCAATTAAGAATTTAAGAATCGAGAGCTTGACTTAGAGAATGGTTCTTTTTTTATTTTTTATATACAATCTCGACTAACACTGGCAATGGTAGAATACTACAGTTCTAGTCTAGTGCTGTCTGTCAGATGTTAGCAGTCGGTCACACCTCAACTAATCAAAATAAAAATAAATTACTTGCACAGATGTATGCAGAAATGGGAATAATTTTGTTTGTGTACGAGCACCGATTGGAACCTTCCCTTCACCTCTATCCGACGATCCTGACTTGCATCATCAAGCAGCGGTGTCTTAGGTGTGCATATCAGCCCACCCCCTGTGCCCAGGAATCCACTTATGACCAGTTCTGTTTACCCTTGTGTGCAACGAGCCTTACATTCGATGATCTGGCTGATCAAGATGCAATTTAACGACAGCCCCCAAAGTCCTCAGGAATTATTTAACGTCGCGGACAGGACAACGATCACAGTCAGATGTCAGATCCCGCTAGAGGTTCTTTAAAGATGGTCTGGTACACGTCTCCCATGGGATTGGTCAGTCCACCCTCCCTCTACAGCGCAGCAAAGAGTTCAAAAGACAATGCAGCATGGCCTGCGTTCACTACTCCCGTGGGTTGGCATGGTGACCGTGACCCGTGCTTTGTTCAGGTCCCTTCAGAGGCACCGCCCTCTCCTGCCAGATGCGCCACCAGGAAGAATGTCGACTCTCAAGGTAGAGCGCACGACTCCTGACCAAGTAGAGGACTCTCAAGTCGAACTCACTTCCTCACGGTAACAAGAGATTGCGATGGGAAGATAAGGTAAGGGAACAACGTACCTGAAGATAGCTGCCCCCAACCACAGATTTCTCACCAATTGAGCCGACGTGCATTTCGATGACCGGTCATAGCCTCGGTACCACTCGCAATGGAATGCAGTGCCACCTCAGCGAAAATGCAATGTCAGCATGCTCTCATCATCCCACATACATCTGCCGTTGCCACAGCTCCCACGCTGTCGCCACAGCCTTCCAGCGACGCTCCCCTCTACCTGGGAGTTGCTGAACAAGCCAGCGCCAATGTATCCTTACTGTGGAGAAGCTTTGTCAGCGCACCAAGTAACGAAGTTGCCAGCCTCTTGTGGATATTCAGGCCCGCCTTCACTTAGGGTGGGCACAATGCTTGCTGGGGGCCACAGCCCAGAACACTTGCATGTCTCTAAAGGCCCCGTGAGGGCTCAATCCGTGCATTCCATCCCCCTAGCTTTGGGGAAACAAAAGAAGTTTGAAATCGCCGATGCCGCCTAATGACACAGGCAGCAGTCCAAAGCTCCGCAATGAGTCCGTGACATCGGAAACGGACTGCTTCCAAGCACTGACAGTTGACCGCTGATATAAGAGCATTCAAAGGCTCCCGTCAACCAGCGGGCAGTTCAAGCTCGCGTGAGTGATTGGGCTAAGTACCAGTGGGGGGTGCGTACTGATCGTTGGAGCGAAGTGTGCATGAATTGCCGTGTCCGTGGAGTCGAGTGTGGTGTGTATTTTATTGAGCTGGACACTACAGCCTTGCCGGGAGGTGGGGTGGATATCGCGAACGGTATGGTTCCACTTGAGAGGCGGTTAAGGGAGGCCTCAATTTTCCCAAGGGTCATTTTAACCAAACTTCTCATGCCATTTGTAACAAAACCCAAGGGTCATTTTAACCAAACTTGACCCCCAAAGGGCTCAAATTTTAATTTCAGTTTTGGACCCGTTAGTCAGGCGCTGAAAGTGGGGGTCCCCATTAACCACTTGTGCTTCCACTTTTGAACACCGTGTCCTGGCTGTAGTGGTTTAACGCCGGTTCAGATCCGTGCGTGCACAGAGGAGAACTGAGGCCCAGATGTACGGATGCATGACTACAACTGCTTACATTAAAAAAAAATTAAAAAAAATGCAGCATAACACTAGGCGATACCAAGCCAAACCGCTTGCAGAGATGAACCAAAAAAAAGCAGCATAGCATCAGACCACACAGCGAGCAAAACACTTCCGCAGTCATTATGGAAGCGGCAATGAAAATGACTACCGTTGTTTACAGAAATGAATGAGAAAATTACATATCACTGGACCATACCGAGCCAAACATTCGTCATAACTCTTTTTCTACACGTCTCTGACTGCAATCAATAACGGTATTTGGTGAAAATGACGAGATCCTACCAAGCCAAACAGAAGCATGGGACTCTCTCCTCTTATCTGAACGCAATCGAGTGATCAGTGAGCAGAACAAGTCCAACGATCGTCATGAATGCCTTACCTAGCATAATGCTAACACAGGTACTCCACCTGGCAAGTTGGCACAATTATCTTATCTCCTTCTTCTGTTTTTTTTTCGGGGGGGGACAGTGTTGCATACCCCAGCGGTCGGCACCCCTTGACTGGTCGGCACCTACCAGTCGGGGGTCGTCTGCACCCCGCCAAAAAAAACAAAATTGGGTCCAGAACCCTCAATAACCCCACCAACAACCCCATACCCGCCCCCAATACCCCCATACC